AGACTTAGTAACTACTTAATTAATTCACTAACCATAACTTTTAAAGAACCCACATTACACTATTTTTTGGATCTGTTATAATGTTGTTTCCTCATTACAAACAGACCTGTAGTTGTGTTTTGTTTCATTCACACATGTTTAACCCTCTCAGGCTCAAATTAATTTTTAGAATCAGGAAAAATCTGATATTTGGGGAAAATTATAATATTGGGTACTAATATACAATCCTGACTTTTTTATCCTTTGTAAAAAAAAAAAAAAAAAAAATAAAAGTATTTTGCACTTCTGGCAGGCCGTTTGCAAGAAGCCATTCTTGCACAGTCTGCATCGCCCACGTTTATCAGCACGGATGGGAGAAAAGGCTCCTGAGTTTAAAAAGCTCATATAATATGGATGTGGAGTAAGTAGGTAATTGACATTTAGCTGTTGCAAATCTGCAACACCTGCCTGGAGAGGGTTAACACAAAAACCCTGCATATTTAGGATGAGTTCTTCTCTCAAACTTCCACTTCATGGCATCACAATGTGGAACAGAGCATTTTGAGCTTTGGAGATGTTGACTAATAATAAAGTGTAACTCAAACATGTGTGAATGACAGAAAACACAACCTCATGTATGTTTTTGAGGAAGTAACACATTCTAACATGGTTTAAAGAGTAAATTTTACGATATATATAAGACATCTCTATCCATTGATTAAGTATTTGCTAAGCCTGAATTCTTAATAAGCTATTTGTTCATTATGGATGAAATCTCTGTTCATGCTTTATTAAGGCTATTAAAAGTGTAGTTATTAAAAGTTACTGCTATATTATTTCCCATCAGTTTAAGACAACAGCATAGGCATCACAAATACTGGTCTTACCTTCAGCTCAAGCCTTCAGCTAAGTGAGTGTGGAGTAGGAAACCTTCTCCTTGAACCGAGCTGAAATATTGATGTGGTGGAGACGTGCTCTTCTCTCCATCATGAGTGACAGGCTGAGGGTTGCTGTAGCTGACACAGGCTCCACACTGTGTCACACCACTGTTCCTCTGCCCTCCTCACTGTCCATCAAACCTCTGCTGCTACTGAGAGGACTACTGCAATAGCTGCAACTGACTCCACACAAGACAGGCTCTGATCAATGAGAAATTTGCTATTAGGGATGGGCGAAATGGCAAAACATTAATCACAATGTAATTCCTTGTATTGATTCTGATTTTTTATTCAGTTTTGTTTTCGTTTATAGGTGCACTGTGTAACCTTTCTGGTAAAGGGTCCACCATCTGCTTGACTCCATGTAGTTGTTATTGTTTGTTCTTGGAATGTTCAGGATGGCATTTAATTTAACTATCTCCATGAAGACAAGCAGCCACCTCACCAGGTTAAGTTACAGGTCTGATCTGTAGAGAAATGAGCCCACTCACTGTAATAATTCATTGTTTCTGTGGTCGTTTTGAGAAGTAAAAATTCTATAATTGAATAAATCTAATATATATTTGTTTATTGATGTTCTGTGGAACATTCCAAGCTAGTTAATAACATCACCATGGAGACAACTCGATGGCGGACCCTACACCAGACAAGTTACACAGTTCATCTTTAAATAGAACATAAATGCTTTCAGTATGAATTTCCTGAACTCAAACAGAATAGGGTTTTAACTGCAGATAATGATGATTCTTCCTCCAAAGTCTGGCCTATGCTCCAGATCAACTTTTACTGACCGAGGACTGACTGTAGGCCTCTCAGTTAAAGAGGCCACACGTTGATCATTGACGATTATCCAGTCCAACTTCTTCCATTTCTATTTGCACTGAAGAGATGACTGAATTTTGATTGTGATTAAATCAGCTTTCTATTTTACATATGCTGCAAATTGTTTGGATGCCTAACAAGGTTACACAAGGCTCTAGACTACAGAAAATGAAAATTACATATTTTGTTTGAGATGATGATGCCCTTCAGACGTCACCTGTTTCCTTCAGAGAGAGACATGCTTTGGGAAAAATTTAAATAGACATGTATTTGAAAAAAGTAAAAGACAATATTTTATGTCTCGAGGTCTTCACAATAGTCACACTATCGCAATAGATACCCATATATATATTCATAAAAATATGACTAGACACAAACTTGAAACTTTAACATTCAAAATAAATATCCAGTCAGTCACATAGTTTCAACATTTTCAAACGTAATAGTGGCTGTATGTACCCCAGAGGTACATTGGAGAAGAGCACATGTAGCCAACATTATCCTCCCTCTCACATATGACAGTGCACACATATCTGAGGCCCGTGACAGGGGCCGTCTCCATGTGTCAGTGAGGGACAAACAAAGTGACATGTTTAAGGGCAGCTTCCTCATGTCCAAGTGTCACACAGCACAACGCAGTACAACGCAGTACAACACAGCAGAATACAGCCACTGATAGACTCTGTACAGACACTGTACAGACTCACAAAGCGTCACATGCATTGATTTACGTGAGGGCTTTCATCACTCACACTGACTCTAATTTCAGTCACATTTTCACAGCTGACAAGAATCAGTTACAACACAAAATAAAAGCATGAAAACTTGAGCAGTGACACATTTTTAACCAATTTATCTAGTTTTGCTTTGGGCCAAGGCGCTAGATGCTTCTACATTATCACTGTAACTGAAACCAAGGTTATAGTAACTGTTGTTTAGACTCTCAAGAGAATGCTAAATTAAGAACCAAGCTGCCACATACATTGGAAATGAGGACTACAGTTCAGGGCAAATGAATTCAAGTATGAAATGGATGCATTTTCTATACAGCTGTATGTCGATGTCTATAGTATGGCCAACTTTTCAAACATTTTAGAACTTCCCCAAAAGTAGCTTGGATATAACCGGAGGTTAAGGTACTTTAGGAGGTACCTTCACTATATAGTGAGCTGCTTCCATCTGAGAAGGGCTCCTTGCTCCTTCTGTGTTTGGATCGTTAAGGGCTTCTCTAATTTGCTGTACCCCACAGCATCATCTGGTTGATCTATATTCTGAAGTGGTTAAATCCCCTGAACAAAAAAAAACCTCTTCACATCATATTTATGATTGTAATTATGTAAATATGCAATAATAACTTGATACTTAGCAATCATTTGCACAGCAGGCATAATAATATGGTCTGTTTCACTTCCTGTTTCACATCTGAAACTCTCTGTGAGTGTTCAGTTATGCAGCAACATATGTGATTACAAAAAATAACACTTAAGCTTAGTGTCTTCAATAAGGACATTAACATTATCTGCACCTTTTCATTTCCATAATCAAATCATGGATTGGATTGGTTATGCAGTAAGTAACATAGAGTTTATCATTAGCATCATCATAATTTAGCATTACACATGTCTCCATGTCTCCATGGTGGCAAGGAGCTGCCAGACCCCCAGCTAGAAAAGTTATATCGTGCACCTTAAATTCAACTAAAATAAAAGTTGTTTTGTCATCTCATTAGCTGTAACTGAAACACCACTGGACACTGTAACATTTAGGTCAGTCTCTCTATTGACACAAAGTTGTGCTTAGGCCTTGTTTGTTACTCTTTCTCTTTCTGGGACCAACTGGACCCAAATAAGCTGTCAATCACCATTTTGGCCTGATTACAATGTTATTTGCTCATTTGCACAAACAAACAGAAGACAGAGCCCACAGCTGTATAGCGATGACAACAACACATCCAGCCCAAGTATGTGGTCAATATTATGCGGGCTGAATAATGCAGGAGCGAAACCACTGTGTACACTATAGGGTTATGAGTACTCCGCTGAGGACCTGAGAGGAAACTGCATAAATATTTTTCTGGGTAATAAGCTGTCATGAGAGCGATGATGACTTATCTCTGGACTAATGTACATGTCATATGGATGCATGCTACAGCGCAGACTGCATAGGAAAGAGTGCGAGCAGTTCCTTCCACTACTAGTCAATTGGAGTGAGTGACAGCATTGAGTTTATACAAATTAAAATGGCTTCACATAAAAAGAGGATTCTGGAATGATGTATTAGTCAGAGAAATAATTAAAACGTCATATTAAAGAGAGCCAAGCTGTCTCCCATAAATGTATATCAAACACTGATTTCTGTATTGAAATTAAATCAACAGCAAAATGCTAATATGTTTTACAGAGATGATTGGTCAGCTGGTTAGTCTGCTAAGAAAAAATAAATAAATGGATGATGCGTCACACTCAGAAAAAAAACAAAAACAAAAACAAAAACTACAAGGTCTGAAATAAATGTTGGGGATTCTGAACAGGCCAACTACAAGATGGTGTCAAAAATCATTTTGTGGGCAGATTCATTTGTGTAGTTATTGTTAGGGGTTTAACAGCTGCTTAAATTGTTTGCCCACTCTCCTGATTATTTTCAATATTATCCTTATAAACTATACATAATTAAGTAACAGATTAAGCTTAAGTACTGCTTCCAAAGACGTTGTGACTTGGTTAATGGTTTCAACAGTTTTTTGTTTTTTTTTTTGTTTTTTTTTTTTTTTTGGGAACAACTCCAGGAACTCTAGGTCAAGGCTGAGCAACTGTTCAGGCAAGGGGACTTTCTACTATGATGCAACGGGCCTGTAACAATGCTACACCTGCACGAAGTCTGCTATAGCAGCTGGGGAAAAACTGTTCAACTGTGAACTTAAAAAAAAAAAAAAAAAATAATAAAAATAATAAATTGTGGAGCTGTTAAGCATGCTTTTGGTGGTGTATTATATTTCCTGGTGGCATCATTTAAAAAGAAGCATCAGGGGTCTTGTATTAGCTATTAGCCTGCATGTTCCTCTCTGAAGCATTCAAACTTCAGAAAATCAGACACTGCAGTGCGTAGTGCCTGCATGTTTTTCTCTCTTCTTGTTTCTGTTTTCAGTGATTAAAGTCATTCCTTGTATTTTTAAAGATGCAATGTGCATCTTTTCTGCTGGAAGGTCTGCTACATGTTTATTTTGGCAGTTCAAAGCTAACCTGTCCTGCCTTCCCTCTCTAGGTGAGCGGCATCAATGCATCGATGAGCAGGAAGCGCGAGCAGAGGGTGCTCTTTATGGTGGTGGTTATGGTCATCTGTTATCTCCTGTGCTGGCTGCCCTACGGCATCATGGCTCTTTTGGCCACATTTGGGCCCCCAGGTCTGGTCACTCCTGAGGCCAGTATCATCCCTTCTATCCTTGCCAAGACCAGCACTGTGATCAACCCAATCATTTATGTCTTCATGAACAAACAGGTGAGGATGCACACTCAGCAAATTATCAATAACAAATTATAGTAATTGTGTAAAGGTGGTAAAAGAAATATTCATGCCGTTCTTACAGATGCTTTGTATCCAGAGACTTGCCGTCTCATTTGGATGTTTGATTCAGGCAAAGCTTTAACACCCAAACAAATCATGTCTGATTCAAAAAGGCTTCTTTTCACAGGAGTCTTTTGTTAGTGAAGGCTACTGCTGCCAAATAGAAGACGCTGAGTATGTGTTTACTCTATAGCTGAGCTTTATTCTCATTATGACATAAATGCTGGCTATGGATCTACACATTAGAGGCAGCTATTAATCATGTAAATAAATGTCTACAGTTCAAGAAACCAGGATGAAATAAACTATTTTAACACAGTGGCACATTCTTCTTGCCTGGGTGGGTTTCCTTGGGCACTCCGGTTACCCCTATCAACCCAAAACATGCACAGTATGTAAAGTCATCCAACTAAGGTAGTCCTGACCAAGCCTAGTTCAAGATCTGGACATGGGTCATGGTGTTCACGGCTCCTCACCGGGTGCTCCGGCATCATTGAAGGATGGGTCAAATACATTGAATTTTAGAATTAACAAACAACCACTGAATCAGTATTTGATTATTGAATGTAAATAATAGATTGTTATGGACCTCACTGCATGAGTTTCATCACCTTTCCCCCAGCCCACTTTGAAAGTAAAATTAGGCATAGAGCAAACTCCAATGAACACTCAAGCGCCTAAAAGAAGGTAAAGAGCAGGTCCAGTGCTCCCTGACCACGATCCAAACACCACTTCCTCCTCTTGACTCCCAGGTTCATCTTCTGCACTAATCCTCTGAAATAGCTTTTCCTGCGTAAGCTATCCTCCTTTAAAATCATTAGGACCCAGACCTCATTTATAGGTGTGCTTCAGCAGCTGGGGATGGCTGCACTTCTCCCAGAGGAATGGGATGTCAGCCATTTTAGTAAAGAGACAGTTGTTTACTTTAACATGACGCCCTGTAGGATCATACAGTGTGTGCACCAGCATGCTGTCAGGTGCCTTATGCTCGAGCTGAAATACACACTTTAAACTGAGGGCTAATTACACTCAGGCTTATTGACTCAGGTTTAGGACATTGGGGAACAGCTGGCTTTAGGCACCTAAATGTATCTAAACCATATCCTCACGGAGCCTTTTAGGATTAGGAAGTTTACCTCATAAAACTGAATGAATAAACATATGAATACAATATGCACAATAAAGGCCATTTTTGTTAAAGACTATTGCACATGTTTTGAGTTGGTGGGGAAAAGCGTAGGGCCCTGGGGGAAACCCCAACAGACGTGGGAAGAAACATGCAAGCTCCTCACAGAAAGGACAGGGCAATATGGGAGTCCAACCCAGAATCTTCTTGCTGTGAGGTGAGAATGCTAGTCGCCTTGCTGCCACAGTTGCAGGACAAAAATAAGTGTGGCTGTATCTCGCCATGGCAACATAAATCCTAATATCACTGTAGGTCACTAATATCTGCCTACTGCCAGATCCTACCAGATTTTGTGGCATTGTTTAAGATTAAGAAGGAAAGTTTTACTTTATACTTTTTGTGTACTTATCAAATTCCTTCCTCAAACCTCCAAGTCCTTGCTGAAAAACAGAACCAAAGATTTAAGATCTTCTGTGTTTTTCTGAAATGCACTTCATCGCGAGAAATAAACCTTTAGATAACATAGATATCCTGTTCCACTGGGGCAGAAATGATAACACTTTTCTTCAGTGTAATCTGTATCATCTTATTCTGGTCTATTAAATGAAACCAAACTGCTGTGTAAGGATTTAAGACAACAATAGTCCCTAGACAGGATTGTGTGCACACCTTAGAGAATTATATCAAATACATGTAATGTGATTTAAAGCTTATTCTGTTATAAACTTTTACTTTTCAAGTTTTAAGTTTTCATTATTTTTAGGTTTAGAGGACAGACACGTAATGGTTGGTCTAATTAAATAACGAGTTGGAAGAAGTTATATGTACTATATCAATCAATAGAGCTCAGGATGGAACGTCAAAAAACAGTGTTTTCTGGCAGCAGTACAAAATGCCCATAGAGATACATTAGCAAAAACACTGTAAACAAGAGCTGTGAAACAACCTGATAAGATGCTGGGTCTATCACTCTATAGTCAGACAATACATTAGAATTAACAGAACATTGTGTATTTATTTAGATCTTTACAGGTTTATTATTGGGCTAAGCTGATACATGGCAATGGCTAATGCCTGCATCTGTTATTACTGCGTTGTTACAATGGTAAGGTCTGTTTTGGTTAAAATATTAATTACTTTCTCTAACTTGTGTCTGAAAATAAGAAGCTGAGACTCCTCAATGGTGTACAGACCCGGGCCCGTCTGTCCCTCACAGCTCACCTCCCACAGGCGCCGAGGGGACACCCAATGTCCTGTATGTCATTTTCAGTCTTCAATTCCTCCCAGCCCGTTGCTATGGAAACTGTGAGTTGAGGCGAGTTGAAGACTAAAAATGCTGTACAGATTCAAGTAGCTGGTGTCGATACTGTCCCATTGAGAAGACCGTGTAGGACATCAGACAATGTGGGTGAGTTCAAAGGGTTCTTATTCATGGATGAAACCAAACTATATAGGAGCTTCAGTTGGTGTATGCGGCCTATGTTGGTAGTACGTTGGACTTTGTTTATAGCTTACTAACTTCCAGTTAAAATGTGGTATTGTTCTGTGATTGTGTCATTACCTGATCAAAGTAAAAAAAATGTAAAGTTAAAACTGTGATGCACAAACTGTATAATTGTAGATTGATGTGAAGCACATTCATATAAATCTTGTCATATGAATTCCCCGTTCCACACTTAAAGGTGCTGAGTTTTCAATGTAAAACATTACTGCAATTTGCAGCAGTTTCAGTTATATAGGTCCCCTGGGTGGGCCTTGGTACTGCTTTGCAAACACAGATGAATCTCTGTGTGCTGTGCAAACTGATCCAGTGCCTAGTCACATCAATCCAAACGAATATTTAATCCTCTCAATAATTCAGTCCTTAATTTACTGCACTCTGGTGTACTCTCATCTGTGTGTTATATCAAGACCCTCTTCTGAAGGCTATTGTCAGACATAGAGCCTAATCAGCTGTGAAACTAAATCAAACAAAGTGTCAAAAGTACTTTTCAGAACACATTTCCTGCAGATGGATGTTCAGTGCTTCATTAGAGCACAGTCTGATGAGAACCGACTTTCTGACTGATCCAAATCAAAGCATAATTATTTCAAACTCTACAAGGGTGGCACCAGGGCCCCCCCTCCATCTCTCGGTAGGATCACCACTGGGTGGCACAGCATGAGAAAGTGAGATGTGATGTTTGATAATAACTGTTTTGTACTGGAAAAATTATATTGTAAAATTTGATACACTTTTGGACACAATAAGCTCAAACTAAAATATACCTTAAAGGTGCATTGTGTAAATTCTCTGGTGGAGGGTCCGTCAAATGTTATTCTGTTGTGTGTATTGTTTCATAGTATAGTATAGGCATTAAACCTTTCTATCTTCATGGAGACCAAATCATACCAAGTTACAGATCAGATCTGTGCGACCCCGCTCACAGTCAGTCAGTTTCTCTAGGGATTTGAGCTGCAAAACCACCTGTAATTGAATCACTAACCAAAAAGTAACTAATCAAAATGTATTAAACTAAATGTGCTATTGCTAAAGTGGGAGTTAATAAAGAAAAGCAAGAATACAGTCCGGTAAATTTCTGTCAGATGGAGTTGTTGTAAGATCTTTATTTTCTTCCCTACTATTGACATAAACAAATTAAACACTTTCGAGGATATCTTACAACACCCCACTTTTGATTACAGTCTTATAAAATCCAGGTGCCTCTATTTTCAAAACACACACTGCAGCAAGTCTGAATTGTGAAGAATGGGACCATAGTGGCTTATTGCTGGCAGAGCACTATTACTGTAGACACAACCACGGTGTACTAGCCCCTATCGACCTCATTCCCTGCAATTAATGGAGATAGCAACAACAAATATTAGCCCTGGGACTCGCCAATCTGCCACAGAGGAACAAGATGCTGTTTAATATGATCTGACTATACACCTATGAGCTTCCTGAACAAACTTTGAGGAAAGTTTGTGTAATCAGTGCATGTGACGATGGTAAAAAAAAGGCTCATGTTGGTAATGACCAGTGGTGGAGTGTAATAACGTAAAATAGTAAAGTACTGTACATAGTTATACATTTTAGATATCTGTACTTTAATTACATTTTAATATGGATAATTTTTACTTTTATTTCACTACATTTGAGAAAAGGTATCTGTACTTTCTACTTTTTTTTCAATGGGCTGAAAAGTAAAAGTTTTTATTATCATCATCATTATTATTATTATTATTATTATTATTATTATTGTCTGAGACCTGCTGAAAAGGCTAAGGGGTTTATTTTTAACACATCACATTCTTAGTTTGAGCCAAAAAAAAAGTAACCATATAAACATTTCTAGAAAAAATATGACTACATTTTTAAATTGATACTTCAATACTTTTACTTAACTAGATTTTTCATTTTTCATATTAATTAATACGATACTTTTACTTTTACTTGAGTATTTTGTTTTTGCTCCAGTATCCACACTTTTACTTAGTAACAAAATTAAAGGTTGTATAGAGGATTTTCCAAGGAACGAGAAATCCAGCGACTGTTTGTCCTTTTTCAAATGTTGCGCATGCGTGAAACCACCCCCCCTCCCCCACAGCTCCCTATGTAGAAACGCCTTCTCCCGCCTCCTCCTTACACCAGAAACAGGATTGTTTACAGCCGGTGCGCTGCACATGACTTGTAAACAACTAACTACAGTGTTGGTTAGGCAAGGCGGAGAAGTGAGGAGCGGGGGGAGCGGGTGTGCGGACATTTTGTGCGCGGACGAGAAGTGAGGAGCAGGGAGAAGAGCGGAGCAGGGAGAGGAGAGAGGAGAGAGGAGAGGGGAGCGGTGCGCGGAGATTCCGTGCCCAGAGAAGTGAGGAGCAGGGAGAAGAACGGAACGGGCAGCGGGGACAGGAGCAGGAAAGGGGTGCAGAGAAGGTTGCGCGGAGATTCAGTGCGAATGAACTAGCTACAACACGCAGCAGCAAGTGGACTCTTTCTTTGCCTTGAAAATTACGTTTTCAGACATAGGATATCGCTTTCGTGTCCTGAAAAACGTTTGACTAGCTCTTGGAAATAAAGTACGTTTTCATAATAAGCAGAAGTTACCTGTCCAGGAGTAATTTGGCGACCAGTGCGTCAGTCTTTAGACCCTGCGTCTGCTTCAGTTGCGCCATCGCTGGAATGAATCTTCAAGAATCACCTTAGTTTGGCTTTGCTGCTTTTCCCCTTGTCTTCTTCTTTCAGCAATCTCAAAAACGGACTTTCTTTTGCGGCTAACTGCTCCTGGATTCTTGTCTGCCATTGCAACAAACTTTGTGCTAACTGCGAGGAAGATATAGGTCCAAAAAAGCCGCTAAGAACTGTTGCGTTGGTGGAGTAAACAGCGTCTGTGCGGCTTGCGTCTGTGGACTGCGTGACAGGCGTACGTAAACCACGTACCGGCGGCGCGCAGGCAAGTCAGTTACGCTAGAAACGTAGGGAGATTGATTGACAGCCTGTCAGCTAACAGATAACAAGGCAATGTCGTTATCTATTGGCAAATGTTTAGCTGGCCCTACCACGTCCAGAGTTGATGAATTTTTATTATCTTTTTTTTGGTCATCATAATTACAAGGCTACTGCATCTCTATAATGCTATCATTGACAATTTGAAACAAAAAAAATCCTCCATACAACCTTTAACCTTTCAAATTCATAGCAATGCAGTAGGTAGTTATGCCAAGAAATGTTTTTTGTTTTGTTTTTTTATTCAAGACCTTATGTTTGACCCTGCTGCCATGTGTTTTGAGCAGATCATAAGTCTAAATTGACAAGAGCTTCCTTGTCATCTCCAAACTCCTCGCTCACTCACTCACTCACTCCAGCAGGTCCATCTGTCGTTCTTCCCTTTCTCATCCATCATTTTATTTCTGACCTTGACACCAAACCAGAGAGGCTAAGTACCCCACTACATTTGTTTGCTGACTCCTCCAGCCTCTAGAGTCCAGTTCCAGAGTGTGTGTGGAGCAGAGGGAGCCAGGAACCATAGACAGCTGGTGACGGTGCAGTGCTGTACATTTTGTTCTAGCATTTACTCATCAAGGACAACAGGAATCAGCCCCTGAAATCACAGTTCAACTGAAAGTTTTTCAATGCCACCTCAAAATAGAACATAAACATTAAATATACTGTCCAAAACTGATGAGAAAGTTTGGTCCCTGCAGAATATGTTTGTGATTTGATATGAGACAAATAGACAGGAGTAAACATTTCATTTGCATGCTTTATAGAATTGACCATAAAGTTTTAAAGTATAGGACTTAAACTGAAAATTTGCTGTATTTCCAATGTTATCAATGAAACTGCACATTTAAAAATGTTAGTAAAAAGTGTGATCATGGTGTGAATTTCTCTCTCCTGTTTTATCCAGCAGACACTGAGCCTTGAGTCATGCTGTAAATTGCATCTCATGAGAAAATGTAGTAGACTATAAGTATACATGAATGTGAAGTATACTAAGTATACTACGTTTACTCAGGAGTAGCAACGTCACACAGCAACCGACTCTGTGTCTTTGATGTTGTGCCTATGTTTTTAGATATGGACAGAAATGCCAAGAATTTCAAGTGTAGCCAAATGCCATGAATGCATTGTTATGCTTTCAACCTGCTGCTGAGGTCCTCTATTATTCATTATGTGTCCATCAGTCCAACCAGGTGCAGGTCTTTGAGCTGAACAGTACTGGGCCTGTGTTGTATAGAGCAAAACAGGAAGATCCACATGAATGTATTATCTGCTGGTCTCCTGATCTGTTCCGGATTGAAAAATGTATCAAGGGGTCCATTCAGTATTAATCCCACCCTGACAGTGCCTGTGTACGTGTCAGTCCCTCCTGTCTGCACCTTCTGACAGCGTCTGAGTCTGTGTAGACGCAGTGCTTTCTCTGTCAACAAATCAAATATATATAGTCACCTTCACCCACCTACATTTCACAAGAACACATTTTCTCTTTCTACCTCTGATTGATGTTATGTCCCATAACTCCACAGCAGCAGAATCATCAGCCACCTCAACCTTTCAGTTGTCCTTTATTTTACAGTGTATAGGTCCCTTTAACATGATCGTATGCTCTTTTTGTTGCTTTCAGGAACCAAGTGCCAAAATTCATCTATTTAACAAATTCCACATATAATCTCACTAAAGTTCAGAATAGTGAGCACGTGTAACCATCCTGACAGTAACCCTTGTACTTGTGTTCAGTTTTACAGGTGTTTCCAGGCATTCTTGCACTGTACCATTCCCAGAAGGGGCTCCAGTGTTAAGAGCTCTTCACGGATCGCTACAAAGGCATTTAAAGGTGGACCAGGTGCCCAACGGCGAACCAATGACCTCCTCTTTATGGTGGCCTCTCTGGGTCAGCCAGCTGTCACAGTGCCCCAGCTCAGACCATGCTTCGAGCCCACCAATGACATCACCAAAGCCCCCTCATCAGACATCAACACCAACAAACCTGTGGTGGTGTCTCTGGTCGCACACTTGGAAGGCTGAGGATTGGCTTAGGGCCTGGAGCCATTATTGCTCAGAGACTTCCTGAAGGACTTTCTGTGGAGATATCTGGTTTCAAGTACAGATGAAAAGTCAAAGAAAACCTTTGTACCTCCAGAAAACAGATCAAAGATCTGTTTTTCTCAAGGAGATGATCAATAGTTCTTAAACTCTGGCTTTAAAACGGAAGGTGGTGATTTTTTGCCATTGAAAATCAAACTGATAGGAAGAGGATAGCTTATTTTGTCCAAAATTTAAAACTTTGTACAGTTTATTTTAGTACGATAGAGTCAAATCACAGATAAAAATAGTTTGTATTCAAATTTGTAATAATCAATAGTGCACCTCAAAGACAACCAGTTTCTCTCACAGAGACGTTTACACAAATGCAGACATGAGCACAAAGGTAATCTTGTATTAAGTTTATAGAGTTGCCACTGCAGGTTCAAGCGATGCAGTACTTTATGACAGTAGGCACAAACTGCATGGTGAGCCCTGTTGACGTGAGGGTTTGGTCCATATCTAATCTGTTTATGCAACTGTGGCCAGAGACTTGCAGTGAGACTGTTTATCCACTGAATACAAAGACAGCATCTATGAATGTAGTACCTTTAGATTTGATATAAGCCAAAACAAATGCTTATTTATGTCTGAAAGTTTCTTTGTCTTTTTTACATTTGATATAAAACCAACAGTTGCTCTCGTGTGATAGTTGTGTTGGGCTAAACACCATTAAACTCAATGTTCAGGGTGCCCTTCAGTCAGGTGCCTTGCCCCTGAGCTCTTCATTATAGTTCCGTGTTTACAAGTTCATGTTTCAGATACAAACACAGGTGTGTAACCAATGCCTTTTGGATCAATGTGATGTGAATGGCATTTGTATGTTGCAAATCAAGAAATTGACAATATTGATTTGTTACAACATCGAGCAATACAAACAAGCACTCACCAAAAGTAATTCAATTTGTCACTTTTCTATGAATTTACATCTCCAGTCAACCAATTTGGAAAAGTCATTGTGCATCAATAAACAGCAAAACACTGATTAACGACTCCTTATACCCCTTTTCACACCTACTGTATGTACAAGAACTGCTCCATCACACTCCTCAGAACTTGTGTAGTTATTGTTTGTCATGAAATAGTTTGCTTTGACTTCTGGCTTAAAAAATGCTTTTTGCGAGCCTTATGTTGACTATTTTGTGTCATCGAGGTCATGTCATGTTCATGAATGGAGTTTTACTGACACCAAAGCAAAAAAAAAAAAAAAAGCAAAAAAAAAAAGTTTTGCATATTTTTATGTTTGCAGTCTAATAAATGTCTTTTGAAAATAAACTGCTGTGTGAACTTTATGTGACCATATCTTCAGATAATTTCAGTTGCAATTTACATGAACCAACCGAACCATAAGTTTGAAATGAACAATGAGCCAGATTGCCTACAGATATAATGGGAACATGGGAAGCACATATAGAAGCACATTCCAGCAATGCTTTCCAACTTGTAATTATTTGGGTTTAAATTGACCTGCACATATACACCCATGTCCCCACAGCTGGTTGGCAGGTTTGGGTGCATGACTGTTATAATGGAGAGTAATGGCCTGACTCCCTGTCCCTATTGTTTACAGTATGAGCCCTGGTTTACTGTGATAAGAGGCACTCCCATAATCGCCTTTAAAACGGAATTGTGTTAATAGACTTTAATGGAGGCAGTAAAGATAGGATTAAATCTGGCTCCTGTTCAGTCCTATTAAAGTCCTGTTTTCTGTCCATAAAAGTAAAATAATCTTCCTTTTAATGAGTAAAAATACACACACAGCATTTTATTTGCTGACCAATAAGGCATTTTATTTAGATAATGAAACTGAGGTGAATACAAAGTGCAATTAAAAGGAAAAATTAATAGTAAGAAAGTTTATTCTCCAAATCAATTCAGTAAATGTGCATCTGTGAACAAGCGCTTGAGTAACTATGCTAATTTTGTTGTAGTTGAGAATCATGCAGAAAGATAAGGATGGACAGCAAAAGGTCACCCAAGATACAAAACAGATTTTGAAGTTGCCTTGTCTTTAGGTGATTATCTATGGTCCCAAACTCTAACAAGCAAATTGCAAGCTAGTAGAAGAGTTTTTGACAAATTTAAAAGGTCCTACATTTTGCAAACTTTACTTTTGTCAGCTTTAAATCATATTATGTTATTACCTCCTCAAAAACAGACCTGGAGTTGTGCGTTGTTTCATTCACACTTGTTTGAGTATTCCTTTATTAGTCTGCCTACATTTCCAAAGCTCAAAATATTCTCTTCCACCTTGTGGTGTCATTAACTGATAGTTTTCAAGTTAACAGCATGGATCTATTAAAATAACTGGATAGGGTATTGCTAGCTTGAAGCTGTCTCCAGTTGGCGTAGTGGCTACTCACTGGTACTACAGTGAAAAAATCCCCTGGCCCAGAAAGGATTTTTCCCATATAGCGTAATGTAATTACAAACTGGTCGTGTTTGGCTGACAGGGCACCAACAATTTTCAAAAATGTTGGATTTTGTTGATATTTTTACCTAATTTTAGATCATAAACTTTTTCTCAGCTCAAAATCAGCTTTTTAACAGCTAGCTCCAGTTCCACTCTGCTCCACTCTGCCCCACTCTGCCCCACTCTGACTCCTCTCTGATTGATCAAATCAATCACATGAGTACGGGAGCCCTTGCACGCGCTCACGTGCACTTGCATATGCCTGGGGGAGAAAAGAGCACTACTGCACATGTTTAATGGGCAGGGAGCCACCGCATACCTACCCGGCCTAGGCTAATCTGGAGGCATGCACTATTGAGCTTGGCCCAATGACTTGAATGAGTGGCCATTTTTAGATCCCGGGGCTTGGTTAACAGCTACCCTTTACCTTTTGTTCAGTAGAGATTGGCAATTCTGGGGCTGAAGTCCACTAAAATCACAGTGGAGCACTTTCTGTGTCATTACCACATGACATCACAAGGTGGAACAGTGTTTTCCGTTTGCCTAAATAAGTAGGGCTTGTGTTAAACATGTGTTAATGAAAACACAACTCAAGGTATATTTTTGATGAGGAAACAATATTATAACATAGATTAGAAAATGGCATCATATGAGCCCTTTAATTGTATAAGATTCAGGCCAAACTATAGTAACTGCAATTTCTCCCAGCCAGTGTTTCTGATCATGAATGCAGTACAAATACAGAAACCCATACTATTGTAATGTTGCGACTGAGCCCCCTTATTACTCACAGAATCTGTTCTGGCATAAAAAAAAAGGACAAGGGCAATGTGGTATAAAAGTTACACATCTATTTAATCTTCTAAACATTAAAAAAAAACTATTTCCTTTTCTTGTTCCCTTCTTGATATAATTACACACCACTCAACTGTCATAAATGTAGGCGTCGTTACAATAAAGGGCATAAAATTCAAACTGGTGAAAGTGCTCGTGCTAAGGAGGCCTATTTGGGCTAAAGTGACTTGTGCCAACCCTGAGACCTAACCTCGCTTTGTACTGAACCCCCGGACCAAATATTGTACTTCCCTCCAAGAGCTCCGCTGCTGTTAATCAACATTCAATTAAAACCAACACTAAGAATAGGATAAAGAATAAAGAGCAAGAATAATGCAGCAGTGGCAATCTGTTACACAGGGAAAAATAAGTTAGCTTCAGGTAGACCATAAGCGACCACCACCCCAGGTATACAACAAAAGAGCATTTACCGCAAATTTAGAAGGGGGAGGGGGGCGTTACGAGCGGCCGCCGGCACCACCGCCTACTCCAGACAACCTTTAAAATGTAGTCAGACCTGTGTCGGCGGCAAGGGGGGGCATTTGAGGGCCGTGCCCCCCCTAGCGGCCACTGGTGCCCCGCCCCCCAACAGGCCGTTATTATTACTATTTTAAAATGATTTTGATTGGCGCATTTCATTTCGGGCCGAGGGCACAAACTTTACTGTGACATCAATGACATCACAGTGTCTGTTTATTTAGTGTAGTGTGATTGGACAACTGTCCTGTCACTCACGTCACGTCACGTCACGTCAACCTGCTGCGTCAACTCGTAGCAGCTCCACGATTAGCGGCAGCTGCTACTTTAGCCTAAAGCTCCACACAGGAAATGGCGAGAACAGAGTCAAAGACACACTGACAGACCCGCCGCCGGGACCCGGGACTGTCGCCGCTGGGACCCGGGACTGTCGCCGCCCGGACTCTCGCTGCCGCCGCCGGGGCCAGGGCAGTCGCTCGCTGCTCTATCCGCCTTTGTCCGCTCGTTTCTGGGTGTAAAAGTTTGACCTGAGCATAGCGCGCAGAGGCATAATTCTATCTGGTGTCCTGGTGCTGATATGGACTGACCGTAACTTTCAGATTTAAGTGGGAAGTGGGATTAAGACTCATTTTACAACCATCTTGTGCACTCGGCTCCCGGACCTCGCGTCACGGACCAGACTGGACCAGGATTTGGACCAGTTTCATCTCTTCATATTGGACAATAGACTTTTGGAAACAGAACCAGTGGGACAGTGGATAGAGGAAACACTCTGCTTCAGTCTCTGGAGAAGGTAAGAGGCTGGTTTTCATTAGTTTGCGGCAAATCTGAACTTGGAGCCTCACAGGTAAATTGTGTTATAGTGTTAATAGTTAAATAGTGCGTAAATGAGCTGGTGGGTGCGATGGCGCTGCTCTGGTTGTTCTGTCGTGTGCTGTAGGAGCGGCATCTGTGTTCATGTCTCTTATTGTAGTTTTACTGACGTTGTTGGGTCTGGGTGTGAGCGGTGTGTTACGTTGTGTTGTTGCATAAAGTTTGCGCTTGGCTGTTCATTGTGCTCTGATCGATACTGTTCAGCCAATACTAACCAAAATATCTGTTTCTGGTATTTGTTATAATACTACAGCCTATATATATATAATACATATATTATTCATAATATATATTTATAATTTTGCCCTTGGTGCCCCTCCCAAAAATTATACCATCAGCCGCCACT